ATCGTGTTAACGTTTCCCTTCTGGCCCTCGTCTCGGTCTTAAATCTTAAGCAAGGAAGTTAGCGCTTTTTCTCCATAGATGTATGCACACATTTACTAATAATTCTATTTTTTCCAGTGCTGTGCTTGTGCTCCTTTGGAAGAATTCATATGAATGTTTTAATGTACTAGATAACCTTTTGTTTAATTTTTTGAGTTTCAAACATGCAAATTTTGTCAGCTTGTGTGTTGCTCCACACATGTTGACTATCATCATTAGCGGTCCCTTTTGTTATCTTTAACTTGTAGGCTGTTGATGGTCCATCAGTAGATTTCGCTGTTCCCATGCCTATCTTTCAGCATGCCACGTACAGTTATATTGATCTTTATAGTTGTCTCCTTTTGTATACAATTCATGATTCTGTTTTGTACTATACCTTCCACCTTGATAGTATATTTTTAACAGGCCATTATCACACTGGGCTGAGGACTAATTGTTCATTTGTTTGCATGGTCTTGCGTATTATCTGCAATCTATCCCAATTTGTTTGTTTATATTGTTTTAAGATTCTTGGAATTCTTTCCATCTTCATTTCCCGCTTTATCTAATCAGGGAAATTATCGGAGATATTGATCACTTCTATTATGATGTATTATAGGACCATTATCATTTAAAAAAGAAAAATGCAACCCTTTTCTCGTAATGGTTTGAGGCACATTTAGTCGGCATCATCAATGAGCCTTACCATTCTTATCACCAACTGACTTATCACTACAGCACTACTAAGTTGTGAAAACGAGATCAGACCACTTTTTGACTCTTGACAAATATACTCATGTATAACATTCGGCGTCTGCAAACAGAGATGAATTTCGAAGCAGCAAGCAAAATCAGCATACGAATAAAGGAACTTCAAAGGCTCTGCAAGAAAATTGATCCCGAGATATCTGAAATAGCAGAACGCACTGCACAGAGTGGACAAGACATCACTTGGAAAGCAGCATAATGAAGGACCTCATATAGTGAATACGCGCGGAAACATAAGATTAGGAAAGCTATTTGCATCTTTCCGAAAAAAATTTAATGAATAGAAGAAAGCAGAGCTAGCATACTCGGGATACGGCAAGACTAATCAAAAGGAGACGTCTGAATTAATAAGTTCTCGTAAACAAGGAGGAAACGGATAGCAGGGTAAATGCGAGTGAGGAACATTAGGAAATCATCAATGACTTGCCTAGTGAATGTAATCTGCTTAAATAAACAACTACAATATTGGCGCATGGCAGTCACAACACGAAGGAGACGGATTATCGCAAGCTTTACGGAACTTCGTCATTATGGCCAAATTGACTAGAAATTCACTCGAGAGTCAGTAGATCACTCGAGATAGACGTCCACAGTTTGCTCAGGGTACACGAGTTGAATCAAGGAGATAACCAGTTAGAGCAATGTTCGAAATTTGCAAGCATAGGAATCAGGGCCTAGGCTCTCTACTTAGTGAGGCGATAGCTTGCATGCTAATAAAGGCTTGAGAAATAGCGCCTGGATTGAAGCGTACTCTTTGACTGAAATCGAATAAATTTAGTCAATCAATAAGATAATAAAAGAAACGAATCTTCGGGACCATGCGGGAAATTCGGATAGGACTCCCGTGTCGGATTAGTAATTCCAGCAAATCGAAGAGTGGATGCTAGGTAAACAAGGTGTTATAACGCCTTACTAAACTCGCTAGTAAAGGACATCTCCAGAGAAATTTATTATAAACAAGTCAGAAGTTATGATAGGGAGTGATATAAGCGCTTAGGTAGTACTTAGGTGTACCACAACTCAGGAAGAAATGACCTCACAGCAGTTATGCAGTAGATTGGTGAAGAGATTGACTTCACCTGTCTGGCTTGTGGATTGCTTCCCGTAATGGCAAGACTTTCTGGCATTGCCGGCGAAACATTTGGAAATGTACCTAATCAACGGTCTAACGCTAGGAATTTTTATAAGTACAACAGAAATGTATCCAATTAAATCTCCTTGACGATACGAGCAAGTTGTGAAAACGAGTTTTAATGTTTAAACTAACTAGCTTTTTGACTAATTATCTGAAAAGTGTTTCGTTATTCTTAGATGTGTCATTGCTTTCTATTTACGAACTTTTAAAATCTATTCTCTGTAAATGCTATACACACATCAAATATTCTCAACATTCCGTTATGAAGACTGGGAATTTATTTGTTATAAAAAAGTTATGACGTATTTAAGTCATTTAAGTCTCTTATTCTGCATTCGATTTTTCCTTAGGAAAGCTTGATTAGTCTTGATCGACTTACGCGCAGTATGGCCGAAATTGCACTGCCAAAGGCTATCGATGTCTTTCCTGCTTCTATCTCTGGACCCGAAGTCACTAAATCTTCTGCGCTTGTTGATATTGTTACTAGTGATAATGACAAGTCTTCCGATTGCTCTTTCCACATTGAGACACCGCTCGCAAGCGAAACCGGCATAAAAAATCGACGTTATTCTAGTCGAAATGCTAACGTCAGGAAGAAAACAGCCTTACCAAAAAATGACTCCACAACTAACTCCAAGGAACTTGATTCAAACCTCGAGTGCTCAAAATTAGTTCAAACACAATGTGACTCACTTTCCAATGAAAGAATGGCGCGCTCCCAGCGTGCACATAGGCTGATTCGAATATACTTTTCGGAAGATGATGTTGGAAAACCTCTCCAATCATCTTGTGAAGAAACGCTGAGACCATCAGAGACGTTCATACTTGGTGATGCCGTAATGCCACATGCATCAGGAAGAGTGGAGAATAATCATGATTCTGTAAAAATTGATTGGTTTATTTGGCCTCCAGCTCTTACAGAGCGCCAGGTAAAAAGAATTAATGTCTATTTAATTATTATCTGCTTTTTCAATCCACAAATTAACAAAATAATTTAATGTTAGATATTTTTTGATTATCCTAGATTTATCAATTCATCTTCGTGGATATAATACTGTCAGATATTTCCAAATTATCCGATTTACCTCACTCTTCCTTTTCTCCTTGACTCTATTGTTATATTTGATTGATTTTTTTCGTCATTTTCTCATTTATTATTAGTTCTTTCTAACAACTACCAGGAGCACAATTTTAGAGATGTACAAATTTTAAATGTTTTTTGCGTCGGATTAACAGCATGATAAACAGGGGGCTGCATTTTTGCCTTGAATTTTACTTGTACAACCGCACTAAGGGTCATTTCTGTTTCTAAGCTGGGAATCTAAAAATTATCAGCATTGTAGAGGTGCTTGTCTGACTTTTAAGTTACGTTAAATTACATGCCAATTCTTTTTTGCAAATTGTATGCGGAAAGGCGACTTTGTGTTTTGATAATTTGTTTGACACGCTCGTGAGCATGTGGTCTGCAACGGTTTTGCTTCGCAGCCAGCTGTTTACAAAGCTTTTATTGCTCTCGTTGGTTTTTATATTTTTCTGACAGCGACTCATCACGATGTTTTGGATAGGAACAAAACAATTTATCATGGACTGAATCACTTACAATCCGATACAGAAACGAAGAGATCCTGGTGCATGCTTATATTTATTCTCTTAGTTCAAAATTTATTTGTATACATCTATTATTGTCTCGTCATCAATTCTATTTTTTCTACTGTTTCCATACTCTCATACGCTCTTTACCTAAGATCGAAATTATTCGTGTTCGTGTGCGCGAATTCCTTCATATGCATGCAGGGAGTATTGAGGCCGGTCAGCTAACTGGCCGGACAATGGCAAATATTTTCCATGGAATCGGAACTCCTATTTTCCCAGCCCAGGCTTGGTCCAAATCACATCGATTTTGGCGTAGCCAGCTTGGAATGGACTGGCCAACAATACGTCGTATTGCAACAGAAGAAATTCTAATTGCAGCTTCTGATTTTCGGCTGTGAAAAAAACACCAGTTAGGACTCAAACTATGTATTACTATGTATTATTCATATCTTCAATGTATTACTACGTTTATAAAGATTAAATCTACTTCTATTCCATAATATATTTATTTTTGGCATTTTCCCCTTCTTTCATGGCTCTATTTTAGAGTTTAGCCTTAACTATTTAGTTTAATGTTAGAGGGACCTTCATTTCGTATGAAAGTGCATGAAGAATAGGTTCGTTGGTCGATCTCACCAGATGAGGAAGGATGAAACTCGTTGTACTCCAGCCGGTTGGATTGTATAGGATATTCATGTTGACGCAGTCCACGGGACTTCCTACCTCGTTTCGCG